CAATTTTTCTGAAAAGGTGGTGTCTATTTACTTGTGACCACACTGTGTATATTGCGCAACATGTAAGTTTGGTGTTGATTTACTACGTTGAAAACTAAAGCAGATTCGACATTCAAAACATATTTTATTTTAAAACAACAGTCATTTTACAAAGTTTATGTAGAATGAATCTACATCCGTGTTTTCTGACCTTTGTGACCATGTACTAAAATCATGACACGACTTTGTCGTTGTTGTTTGTTATTAAGCACAAAGCTACACAAAGGGTTATCTGTGCTCTGTCCACCACGGGTATCGAAACCCAGTTTTTAGCGGTATAATGCCGCAAACATACCGCTGGCCATTGGGGAGCACGACTTTGTCATGCCTATTTTGTTTGTTTTGAATTTCACGCAAAGCTGCACGAGGGGTATCTGCGCTAGCCGTCCCTAATTTAGCAGTGTAAGACTAGAGTGAAGGCAGCTAGTCATCACTACCCACCGCCAACTGTTGGGGTACTCTGTTACCAACGAATAGTGGGATTGACCGTCACATTATAACGCCCCCACGGTTGAAAGGATGAGCATGTTTGGTGGGACGGGGATTCGAATCCGCTACCTACAGATTGCGAGTCAAGCGTCCTAACCACCTGGCCATGCCGGGCCACTTTGTCATGCCAATCATTGATTAAAATATTTACCTTCTATACTCCATCGCCATTTTGTTTCTTTATAAGTACATTATTGCATCATATATTTATAATAGTAATTTCCACATAACATCAGATTCCAGAATGTATTATTTTATACGTTTTAATTACCTTACGCCCGCCCCTGGTGGTTAAAACTTTCTTGTTTGTTGTTTTGTAGATATATGGTTGTTTACTTTTGTCGTTACTCAAACGCACTTTGTGTATACAGAAACAAACACTAAGAGTTATATGTCCCCCCAGTGGCACAACAGTATGTCTGCGGACTTACAACACTAGAAATCGGGTTTCGATACCCGTGGTTGGCAGAGAACACATAGCCCATTGTGTAACTTTTTGCATAAATTCAAAACAAACAAAACAACGAGTTATATAAACAACAATAATAATAATTTCCAATACGATTTCGCAACTGGTGATGCTCCTAATAATATGCATACAAATAATTACTTATGTAAAACTAGCCGTTCTTTAGTCAAGACGTTTGAAAGGTGTGTCCCAAACGTTAAAGTTATATTCTGTTTAAATACTTTTCAGTTATAAATGCTCCTGTAGATAGTAAAAATGCTTAAATGCATCACGTGTTGTAAATGGAAACTAACTAAATAACAGTTGTATTAAGGGCTTGGAAAAACGTTTGTCAATTTAATTGCTAAATGATCAAAA